TGTTTGGTTTGAATCTCATGTCAGATGGTTCTTATTCTGAGTCTTTGAGGGAGTACTCTTTTTGCCCAGACTGATTTGAGTACCAGAAGGCTCTATTATGAGTCCTATTCAAATTTCTTTATATATTCTGCATTTGGATTCTATGTTTACAAAGTATATTTTCTTTTCTTGTTATGCTGCTGATATCGAAATGTGTTCCATTTTAATCCCGATGTCTGAACCACTGCGGCCGCTGCTTAACAGTTAATTGACACGTCACAGACTGTCTGACTCAGGACTGTCTGACAGTGAACGAAAACAAAACCAAAACTGTGTTTACTGATTGTACCCCTCTCTAATGTTTTATGTGATATTTTTTGCCCTCTTGATCCTCAATGCTGAATTTTGGAGTGCTTTTGGACACAGTTTTTAGGACCTTGTTTAATCAATTATGCCCATATTTTACCTAAACACCATTAAACTCAACATGTCACAGCAGCTCATTATATTTTGAATTAAAACAACATCTCTCCATCACCTGCAGTTATACCAATGTCTACTTTTCTTTTAGAGAATGACTTTAAAAATGAAGAGTAGATAGAAAGATATTTTTCTTTACTTGCAAGGACATTAAATGTAGCTTATAAAACATTATGCTGAGACTCTAAATGACAAGCTGAGTCTGTCTACTGCTGAATTTCACCACTCTCAGCCTGTTGCTGAAGGGTGAGGCAATCTTGAAGCAAAGATCATGCATACAATGTGTTTCATAATCTTGTGGCAAGAGGTTGCCAATAAATGGCAATTTCCTATGTATGATGAGACAAGGCTACAGTAAAGCTATACAGTTGGATACTTGGGGGGTGCCTGTGGGCTACCACCATCAACATATTTGCTCATAACTCCTGGTGCCAAAAGTCTGACTTTGGTTTTTAGAATGAAAATACAAAAATATCATCATTAAAACTGAAAAACCGGGGTTCTTCGTTGCATTTTCTCCTACTTGTTCAAATGTTCTGCATTATGTCATTTCATTTAAATTCTATTTAAATTTTCTATGTTTTTTTATTGCAATAGACCTGTGAAGGTAGTTCATATTTGAATTTTGTAGGAAAATAACTTTATAGGACAGGCTAAGTCGACACTTAAATGTACAGCGGGTAATTTTCAGCAGAATCTAACGGTCACACTGCAGCTTTCAGCAACACGGGCCGCAACTGACAATTATTGTGCAAATCGATTAATCTGTCGATTATTTTTTCGATTACTAATCAGATACACAAAGGCACCTTCAAGAATATTCTTTAAGAAATTAAACTAGTTGAAAGTAAAACTTTTCCACCTGAGGAGTTCTGGATAATGATTGTTGACAGACGAAAATTCTTAATTTTTTTTATCTTAAAAGCAAAATCTATATCTATATATATATATATATATATATATATATATATATCTATATATCTATATATATATATCTATATATATATATATATATATATATATATATATATATATATATATATATATTATTGCTGCACTAAGTGGGTTTCTCTGTCAGTTAAAGGCATATTTTAGAGTATCTATACTCCAGTTGATGATAATCAATTACTAAATAAGATTATTGAATGATTAATCCATTACTAAATTAGTTCATGATTATTTCAATATTCGAATAATCACAATGAATCCAATTGTTTCAGCCCTTGTTGCGACAGTGTTCTCCAAGACAAGTGGTCAAAATACAATTGAAAAATATTGTTTTCAAACTAATTAGAAATAGAAAGCAATATCTTTTAATATTTAGCAATCCTGAGTAGAACTATATTTTGTTGCGGTCGCAGTTCTAGTTTCACATCTTTTTTGCTATGGCTTCACCAGCATTGCACATAGAAAGATAAAAATGTTTCTTATTCTTACTTGTAAAATGGCTAAAGCTCTATATCAGGCATCCCCAAAGTCGGTCCTCAAGGGCCACTGTCCTGCAGGTTTTAGAGATTTCTCTGCTTCAGCACAGCTGATTCTGATGATTGCAGTTCAGCAAAAGCCTGTTAGTCAACTATTAATGTAAATCAGCTGTGCTGAAGCAGGGAAACCTCTAAAACCTGCAGGATAGCAGCCCTCAAGGACAGAATTTGGGGATGCCTGCTCTATATGAATGAAGAGTGACAATACACATCAGTTTTTATAGCTTGCCAGTTGCCACCATATCAACTGGATTTGGACTTTGACTAGACCATTCTAATATGTCAATATACTTTTAGCTAAACCATTCCGATGTAGCTCTAGCTAAAGTTTCAGCATTGTTCTACTGCTAGAAGACGATCCACAGTCTTACGTCCTTTGCAGCCCCTAACCGCTTTCTTCAAGGATTGTTCTAGATTTACCTCACTCAATCTTCCAATTATCTCAGAGATCTGACAAACAAGCTCATGGCATGATGCGACAACCACAACGGTTCATGTTGAGGTTGGTGCTTTCAAGATATGAAGAATGTATCGCCTCTGTCACAATTTAAGCTTTAAAGTAAAAAAGACATTTTTTTATTTTTTAAGTTTATTTTTTTCTCTCTACATGTCACACTTTAATTGATCATGCAACCCACAAATGATCATCCAGATCCCCCACATTATGATGCTGTCAGTGGCATGTTTCACGATAGAAATGGTTAAAGGATGTGTAACATTAGCTTTTTCTTTAGCTAAACTTGGATCTCATCAGACCAGAACACTTTTTTCTCATTTTTTTCAGCATCTCCACCATTGCTTGCGACACATTCTACCAAGACTTAAGAAAAAATCTACTGATAAATTTCGGGAGCTATTTATAATTTAAAAAAGCATGAACCAGCAGAAAATGTTCTTTGCAGAAATAACAGCTGCTTTCAATTCACATCAATGCAATAAATAATAATAATAAACATAATCTCAATAATCGGTAAACTAAATCATGATTTTACTGTAAAAAAAAAAGAAAAGAAAAGTAAACCAATAATGTAAATGTCTCACACTGATGCTCTAAATAAACTGGAGCTTGTCGTGGGTTGCAGCCGTCTGTGTGTGCAGTAGCTGTGCTGCTGAGAGGAAAACATTATTGTGTGTGGGCAGTTTTCAGTACAGTCTCAACTCCCCAATGCAAACTGAATCACACATTGTAAAGAGAAAGCCCAGGCATTAAGCAGCAAAATCTGTGACATCACTACCGGACATAGGAGCCCTGTTCTCTGCATAATAGAACTATTGAAGCCCCCCTCACTGCCATCGCTGTCCACGGTGCACCAGTCTCTGGCAGTAAACCCCTGTGTGAAACCATCACCTGTTGCAGCTTAGCATCTAGAAGCTCCTGTGGGCGTTTTGGAGGACCATTTAGCAAATGAGAAACGTGGTAGATGGACGTAGAGCATACAGTGCTGTCAGAAATGATTTACCTCCTTACAGATTCTGGAGGGTTTTTGTTCCATTAATTCTTTTAGATAATATGAAAAACTTCAATAGCAGAAAAAGAGAACTGCAGTGACTAAAAAACGTTTCATTTAATAAAATTTTTTATTTATTAATGAAGAGAAAGCAATCTGTTAAAAAAGAAAATAAGAATTGTCCCCAACTTTGTTCAATCATGACTTGACAATTTGCCCAATCAGATTTTTGGATACCAAAGTTCATTTCGACAAGCTACTACTATCAGAACTTTGAAGAAGATACTATAGACAGCATGAAGTAGACTGAAAATAACCACAGTTTCTACCATCCAAACTAGTCTGTACTGTATCAGACTAGAATGGCTTATAAGGCCACTTCTAAGGATTTGGGGTTTTCAGTAGTGGATGGCCAACCAGAATTACTCCAAGAGAGCATTGATGACTCATCCAGGAGGAAACAAAAAGAAAACCCAGAAAGGCTTCTAAAGCACTGCAGGCCTCAGCTCTGCTTGGATCAGTTAACCGTGCCGAGCTTGATTCCTTACGTCCGTTTACACATCGGCTAGCACGGTTCCTTGCCTCCTAATAACGATCTGCGGTACTACTGCTCTCTGGGATTGAAGGACGAAATAGGGCAAATCAAAATGGTGGTGCCCGTAACATTCAGAAAGTTATGTTTGGCTATACCTGTGATATGTCATTGTTTGCAGAGAGTCAGGCAAAGAAGGCGGCATTTGGTGAATTTACTTGACAGAGTCGGCTTTTGGGAAGTGGATATAACAAACGATGGTCTAATCGGCGCTTACAGACGCAGCAAACAACGACAAACGTTGAGGTTCATCACACTGCTAAGCAGAATCATCACTGGAAATCGTGTGGAAAGGTAGGGAAGCTACTATTTTTATAAAAGTCTGAAATTTTCTTCTTCTGTTTTATGGCGGTTGGCAAGCAGCTTACTGATGTGCATTACCGGCAACTACAAGGAAGCTGACTGTAAGGAGATGAAACAGTCTGCCCATGCTCTCTTCGTTATCTGAGAACCAAGCCTCAACTGAACCGCGCCGAGTCCTAGTGATGAACTAGTACCAGTCTAGCGCTGTTCGGTTCAGTTTGCGTGCCATTTACACTCAACAGTTATCTCGGTTGCCGTGCTCGGACCGATCTCGGCACGGTTTGAAAAGGATAGTTAAATGGGGCAAACGATTCAACAACAACAACAAAAGAAACTTGATAAAAAATAAATAAACTAATAAATAAATAGAGGAAAAAGGACCCAGATGGCTTGTTTTTATGATGGAACTATTAATTCTATAGTCGAGCAGACATTCCTTGAAAAGAACATTGTATGTGACCTTTAAGTTTGATTTTTTTTTTTTATAAGAAGAACAGTGGTCTATAACTAAGCAAGAAAATTAAGGTTTTGAAGTGGCTTAGTCAAAGTCTGGACTCAGATATTACTGTGATAAAGCCAATTTGATATTAAGGTATGATGATGTTCTCACACAGTTAAAAAGAGGACATAACATCTCAGTGGAGATTAATAGTTTCTCCCAGCACTGTTGTGACTATAAAGCAGATAGTAAACCATAAGCAAAATAAACTGTACCTGGCCAGCTGTGTCATACAGTCCCAGCAAGTACTGCTTCCCTCCAACGTTGACACTCACTGCAAGAACATGGGAAAGGAGCAGAAAGGTGAGGGTGGGGTGAGGAGACAGGGATCAGAGGGACTGAGGGGTGGTGGTCTCAGGGACTTCCAGCTATGAGGAAGGCAAACAAGTGGTTTTGAACAGATGCAATGCAGTTGCAGAAAGAGTGAGAGAAAAGTCAAGGGAGGGAATCCACGTCTCTCTTCTCCTCTTTTTCCATTTCTAATGGGATAATTATCACCAAACAAAGCAAAGCAGCAGCTCAGTGATGTCATGGTTCGTGAGATGTAACCCTACCTGCATAATGATCAAACACCGTGGGCACATACTCCTCTGGAAAGGCGTCGTTGGCATAGCTCATCAGGAGACACGTTTTACCCACCGCACCGTCTCCAACCACGACGCATTTCAGCATGATAGAACAGGTTCCGTTCGCCATGGTTCGGACCCAAACAGCATCCTCTCCTGGACGCCTTGCTGTGCCGACCTCCTGCCGGTGCTGCTGGGTGGGGATCCCCGCACCGCGGCGGGCATCAGCAGCCTTGGAGGCGGACTGCGCGCTGCACCGTGTCGGGCTGGAGCAGCATCTCTGTCTCCCTCCTGCCAAACACCGGTTCCTTTCCTCCCAGATTAAAGCTCAACTTTAACCCCTTTGGTTTTTCTACTGGATCCCCCAGACAAAGCAGTAAAGGGTTTCCTTTGAAGCTGAGGAGGGATCCACCGTGTCCGCTTCCCTCCGCGGTGTGACCTGCTCCCCTGACGCTCCCCGGCGCACTGAGCCTCCTCTTCCTCCTTCTCCTCCTCCTCCTCCTCCGCTGCTGCTGCTGCTGGACAGGCAGGCTGGAGAGGCGGAGCCTGGCTTTTAAAAGCAATAAGTAGTCTGCAGTCCGCCTGCTGGGTCAGAGGTTAAAGGACTGGGAAAAAATAGCCCACAACATTAGACATATGGAGGAAAAAACAACAAAAAACTTCTTTTTCTGAAGAAGAAGATCTGTTCATTAAGGGATTAAGAAGTAGTGAATTAAGCATGACAGAAATGTATTTGGAAATATTGTATTAAACCACTCTGATCATAGAGAGCAGAGTTGTCCAACCATGCATCCATCCATTCATCCATCCATCCATCCATCCATGCATCCATCCATTCATCCATCCATCCATTCATCCATCCATCCATCCATCCATGCATCCATCAACTCATCCATCCATCCATTCATCCATCCATCCATCCATCTATTGGTACATCCATCCATCCATTTGTCCATCCATTTGTCCATGCATCCATTGGTCCATCCATCCATCCATCCATGCATCCATCCACTCAACCATGCATCCATCGACTCATCCATCCATCCATCCATCTATTTGTCCATCCATCCATTTGTCCATCCATCTGTCCATGCATCCATTGGTCCATCCATTGGTCCATCCATCCATCCATCCATCCATCCATCCATCCTGCATCTGTTTGTCTGTCTGTTCACCATCCATATATCCATCCATCCATCCATTTGTCCAACCATCCGTCCATGCATCCATTGTTCTATCCATTGGTCCATTCATCCATCCATCCATTGATCCATCCATCCATTGGTCCATCCATTTGTCCATCCATCCATCCATGCATCCATCCACTCATCCATCCATCCATTCATCCATCCATCCATCCATCCATCTATTTGTCCATCCATCCATTTGTCCATCCATCTGTCCATGCATCCATTGGTCCATCCATTGGTCCATCCATCCATCCATCCATCCATCCATCCAGCCATCCATCCATCCATTGGTCCATCCATTCATCTATCCATTAAGCCATCAATCCATCCATCAATCCATCCATTGGTCCATCCATCCATCCATCCATCCATCCATCCATCCATCCATCCATCCATCCATCCATCCATCCATCCATCCTGCATCAGTTTGTCTGTCTGTTCACCATCCATATATCCATCCATCCATCCATATGTCCAACCATCCGTCCATGCATCCATTGTTCTATCCATTGGTCCATTCATCCATCCATCCATTGATCCATCCATCCATTTGTCCATCCATCCATCCATGCATCCATCCATCCATCCATCCATCCATTAAGCCATCAATCCATCCATCCATCCATCCATCCATCCATCCATCCATCCATCCATCCATCCATCCATTAAGCCATCAATCCATCCATCCATCCATCCATCCATCCATCCATCCATCCATCCATCCATCCATCCATCCATCCATCCATCCTGACTAATCTCTGTATTTGTCTTCCATTTATACGGTTTGAAGGCAGAACCAGGAAGTGCTTAAAACAAAGCTTGGATCGGAAATGTTCCCATGTGTCCATAGGAGGGAATCATAATTTAGCTTCTTTTTTACTACAGATGAGCAAAGCTTACATAAGCGTAGACAAAGCCTCATCAGGCCATCCAGCTCAATCTCCATGCTGTTATTATTTCGGTACACCATTGAGGAACATAAGTTGTAAAAGAAGGAAACGCTTCATATTTGTGTAGCCCATGAACTTTAGTAACCTAGAGTCAGAATTATTTTAATCACATTGGGTTTGTGATGAATAGATGACTCACCCTAACTGTGTTAGTCTTTGTTTCTGTGTGTGATGGATGGGATATGTGGGATGGGACCACAGAGCTAAAGATGGAGGCACTACAGGGAGAGCTGTGAGTTTATAAGATGAGGGGTAAAAGATCTGGCCTGTGTGGAGCACTTGGCCAAGTGTAAGCTGTCATTTAAAGCACTGTTCACTATCTTAATAACACACATCTGCCAACAAAGTCAAAAAAGGAAACAGCATGTGTTGACGTTTGCACAATCTAAGGCGAATGAAACCAACCACCGAATAATCAGCTAAGTCACAGCTGACAGGAAGCCTCATCTCATCGCTGATAGGCTATCTGTCTGTGTGGCGAGCAATATTTTAATAAGCAAATCAGCACAACTCATCTGCTGAACTTTAAAAGGAGACATTAAAACACTTAAAAAGTAGAAATGAGTGTTCTCTCAATAATAGCATTGACAGCATCACTCTCTGAATGATTTTGGAGCCTCATTGGAGGAGTACTAATACTGCATAGACTCCTGAACACACAGTAAAATGTGGTGATGACATCATCAATAGGGATATGAGAACTGATCAGAGTGGATAAGGAAATGGATGCAGTTAAAAAAAAGAGTTACCGTATCTGTTAGAGGCTGCAAAGACAACACCAAACATCCAGAAAGAGCTAGAATAAAATGTTTCATGTCTGTGCATTTTTATTTTGAAGTGGTCTAGTCAAAGTAGCTCAGCAGGACTTATAAAGATATCATTTTAAAATGCAAATGGACTGATCTTAAGGTATTTTGCAGTAAAGTATGAAAAAGAAATCCCTGAGATGGACGGTTGTGTAACTTTTACAGAAAATAACAGTTTGCAGGTGTAACCTAAAAAAAAAAAAAAAAACTTAAAGGGCATAAATCCATTTGCTAGGCATCATAACCTGTGTGCAGGGTGATCTCTCCTGCTTTCATCATATTTGAAAGCTGCTGCAGCAGCTCACGTGACCAAACAATTACATCGTAAGTGTAGTTGTTGTGCCAAAGGTGATGCACGGGGGACATTGCCCCCCTCTACTGGACAGGAAAGGAAAACATCTTCAGGAAACAACAGCTGAAGTAAAAAATATGGATTTAGTTAGATTTATGTCATACTCCCCATAGCAAATAATGCTAGAAATAATGTGTGAATTCAATGATGCATTAGAGGAATTTTCTTTCTTTAATGATTTGTGAAGCATTGTTATTGATAGTAAACACTCCACAACAGTTTTTTCTGCAAATAGGAATTTATTTGTTGCAGTTTTTTTTTAAAGCACTGAACAGCTTAGCACTAAAATACTTTACAGACTTGTTGTTGGTGTATCGACCGCACAGACCTCTCAGGTCTCCTTCCTCAGATCTCCTCTGCAGACCCAGAACCAGAACCACGAGTGTAGAAAAACCTTTAGTTCTTATGCTTCATAATCTGGAATAAACTTCCAGAAGACTAGATGTACTGAAACCCTGAGCTGCTTTAGATAAAGATTCAAAATTTGCTTAGAGTGGCCTTTGATTGTGCTATCAAAACATTATTACTTAAGCTTTCAACCCAGCTTTCCTTTTATTTCCTTCAATTTTATAATTTCTTTTATATAATGTGACATTTATGCCACTAAAATTCTTTTTCTATTCAAATATATAACACTTTGAATTTCACATATAAATAAACTTTCCTTACATAATTGGCTAACAATAAAAGGTGGATTATTTATAATCTCTATAATTTAGAATCTTGATTTCTCTTAAAACATGCATGCAGTCAGGGTTATCAACATTAAGATGATGTCCAGTCAGAGACCTAATTGGTTAAAATTACATTTGTGCTGATGCACAATCAAATCCTAACCATGCACTTTGCAGTTTATCTCAAGTCGAAAAACGTAAGAAATTTGAAATAAAACGATGCTTAAATGTAGGTTTCATGTAAAGAAGAGAAATAACAGTAGGCTATGGTTGCTAATTCTGGTTGAAAGATAAAAGGGGAACTATTCAACGGATCTGCATAGTAAACACCAGCTGGACAGGAATCAGAAGACAATGAAAGGAGGAGGTTTTTTTTTTTTTTAACACACTCCATCGTATATAAGTTCTAGCAGCTCATCTTCCTCTGTGCTTTCTGTTGTTTTACTGCTTTAGGGCAGAATTATAACTAGAGGAATACTGCTTAGCGCTATAGGGTTTAGCTGCTTGAGAAAATTCAGAACACTTTTCTGCACCATGTTGTCTTTAGTATCTTTATTGTCCATTTTTTTATTATTGTCCCCCCCAAAAAACCTCACAAAAACAGTTAAACATGGAATTTATCTTTATTTTTCTTCCGTTGTTGAAAATACAAGAAATTTGATGCTTCTGTGTCAACCACATTTCCTCAAATAAATTTTTTTTCTCTTCCTGTTATTTAAAGCTCTGTTGATAAATAATATACTGCAAAGCAGCCAGATGGAACTGAATATGTTCTGGATACGATTTTATTCTCAATTGGACTAAACTGAGTAAAATCCTGACTGAAGTTTGTATAAATATAAATCAATATAAATCCTGATTATCCCATTGGATCCCTGAGTGGGACTCCATCCTCACTGTGAGACAATAAAGGGATATGACACTGTAGAATATATATATATATATATATATATATATATATATATATATATATATATATATATATAAAAAGATTTAAAATCAAATTAATTGTATTCTTCAGGACCTCAGAATGACCAGCCGATGGTTCCAGTTTGGTGACAGTGATAACAGACAGTACTGAACTTTAGGGCTTATTAATTTTTAATTAATGTAGTAATATTATATCAACAAAGCAGTTAAAATAAGCCTTTTATTTCTGTATGACTATAAGTTGGGCATTTGCTCAGAGCAGAATGCTTTCAGCACTTCTGCATACTTTAGCACTTCAAAACCTAATGCTGAAATCAACTGTATTTTGAATAATATCTTTATTATGTTGACATTAATAGATGTAGAATGCCATTTGTGTATTAACAGAGAACTGCTGTCTGACCTACGGAAACTTTGCTCTTCTATTTTAGGAAACACAAACAAATCCTTTCCTTTCACATTTCCTATCGGTTATCCAGATGCTATCTCCCAGATCGAAATGCATGAACGCAGTCAGGAACACACACATAAACACATACTTCCTGTCTGTCAAAGGCCTCGATCAATCATAGTGTGGGAGTGTA